TATGTCTTGATCTTAAAAAATGCCTAAAGAAAGGCTGCCAAAAGCCTCCTCCCAAAAGGTCTTCTCAATTCTAATTAGACGAGTGTTTATAGAATTTTAAAAAATCTACTCCAAATAGGTGTGAGACCTACGCCAACATGGAGGGAGTGGACTTGGTGAAAATTGCACAGTGCACAGGGTGTCGGAGATTTTGGACTGCATTTTGGTGCTTCATTGGCAAATCTGTTCTGGTCTCCCATCTTTTATCAATTGACACTTTGATCCTCATAGTTCTGATTGCTTTATTTTGGTGCTAAATATATTGCAATTTCTTCCAATTAAGTCCTCTTTGCATAAGAAATAGAAACTATATAAAATTAAGTCAAATCTTATAAAACTCATCTAATTATAAATAATATCAAGATAAAAATTTCACTTTAATATCTATGAAATTCTAACTTATTATTTTGTATGTGTGAAATTGTTCAGTTATTCTCAATCATTTTTTTTATATTGATTTATTAAAAATATTTAAATCTTAATTTTTATTATCATTTTTGACATTTTAATTATTAACACATCTTAATTTTCTTCAATATAAGGCAAAATGCATTGTGGTAATTAACTTTAGTTAAACGCAAATTTTAATTCCTAAACTATAAATTTTTTTTGTCCTTAAACTAATTTAAAGCACCTTTTTTGTCCCTCAAACCCTTAGAAGTGCTCAAAACTGTTCTTCCTGGAACTAATTTCGTTCCCTAATATAGATTTTTATGATTAGTTAAATAGGACCCAAAAGTAACAAGGTTAAATTTTAGGGACCAAAATTAGCATTTCAGTATTACTTTATATAGAATCTTAGAGCAGGTCATTTAGGTTAGTAACACCTGTAAAGACTAATTCAAGACAGTCGGTTAGAACTTCATTTTCATAATGTCCTCTAAGGAAGAAGTTAAAGGACTATCTTAATTTTGGGCATCTACTTGCTTTTTTTTCATTCTTAATTTTTCCTTTTTAACGTTTTGTCCCCATAAAATTCGAATGAATTTTTCTTGTTTATGAAATAATCCTCCATGATTAGTTGATTTACTACTGCTATTATAATTAACCTTTTCTTAGGCACGTTAAGTCTCACAATCCTAACCATAATTTATAATAAATTAATAAATCATTGTACTACTTTTTTTCATGGAACCGTTGTACTAATTAAGTACAGAGGCAAGTGAAAAAGATGGCATAACCACTTTGATTAGAATCTAAATATTAATTACTACAACTAAATTGTATTTAAGGATTATTAGTTTGGTTATGCATGAGTGGTCCATGGGTGTTGAAACTACCTGGAATTGCTTGCTTCTTTTCTCCTTATCGCACGCAAATGCGCAATGAGAAGCAAGAGACTATATTTTTCTCTTTGTTAGTTCTTTGCTTCCATCTTGTTCTTTCTTGTTTCTTGTTTTTGTTAAACTTGATCCAATTATATCTATTGTAGCAGACCGAATCAGATACAAATAATTGGGATTCCATCGCTTGATGACGATTAAAGCTTCGGTTGCTAAGGTGGACCAGGTTTCATTACCATATTCTTTTGTAAAATGCAAATGGAATGAACTTAGAAAGACACTTTTTGGGCGCATATGAGATTAGGATTAATTTCTAATCCAAAGCAGGCATCTAGGGCCGAATCAACCGTCCCCTACATTATTAAATAACTTCCTCAAGAATCTCTCTTTCATTTCAACTAGAACAATTGCCGATAAAAAGGGAATTAACTAAAATAGTTACTAAATCAAGACTTGTTCATTCATAACAATCTTGAGAAATTTTATTTGTAAGAGGATAATACTAAAGAAAAAGACTATAGCTGATTTGTTTGATTTGGCTATTAGAAAATAACTTTAATAGTTAATATTAGTTTTGAAGTTATCTAATATACAAGTTTTCAAACACCTCAACTAACTATTAGGCTAAGACTTATATGTAACTTGTATGTTCACCTCAATTGAGGTGCAAAATTGCTGGAAATTTTGCATGTATATGGGTGCACCAAAATATCTTAGAGGAACTGATAAATTGTGATAGCTAGGATAATTCTTTTGAGCCCATATGCTGCTGTCACATTGAGGAGTTGACGAAGAGAAAGCGTGCAAGACTGCATGTTAGCATATACTTAAAAAACTGTCAGTTGAGATAGTGCAGATGAGACGTAATGATTTCCTCCCAACATTTTTCCTTTTTAATCTGACCCAATCAAACTGGATGATCCAATGATTTCTTAATTATTTTCTTGAGGTGGGTATGTCCTTTTATTTTATTTTATTTTTTGAAATGGAAATCTTAGTAGGTAGTAGGTATGTGTTTGATCTAAGTCTGGTTGGACTTGGATTGGAAATTTGGGAGTTGGAAATGGCTTGTCCAAAGTAGCAAAAGCCGCAAAACCATTCTTAAAGAATTAGAAGACATGTGTACTCTCTATCAAAAAAAAAAAAAAAGAAGACATGTGTACTATTTTTGTTGCTTTTGGAATGATGGCCCATGTCGTCCCAATTGTGTAATCCACCTCCCCACCCCTTATATGGGCCATTAAATACCCAAAATGAAGTTCTAGTCTATTCTATGAGAAAACAGACTCTGGCCCAGGACTCGCTCCTGACTAATTGAGTTGACTGCGAACCAGCCTGAGCCCTCAAGTCATCCCCATTGGTTAGAATTGACAAAGATAGTTTATATATATATATATATATATATATATAATATTTTCAATTATAAAATAAAAGATAATTTTTTTAAAAAATTTTAATTTATATATTATGTAATTTAAATTTAAAATTTATTATTTTATTAAAAAATTATTATTAATTTATTTAGATCATTACTATTAATTTACTTAAATTTATTAATAAAAAAATGTTATTGTTGATTGATGTATTTTAAGTACTTGATATACGGTACAAGCTGTTTTTCCTCAAGATTTATATATGTATTACTTGTATTGATATAATGGTCTGAAGAATACCTCCCGTATTTTTTTAATTAAATTAACTTACTTTTTGTTGATAAAAAAATCGTCATTATTGTAACAAAAAGATCTTCTAACCGACAAACGGCAGAATCCATGTCGGCACAAGCAATTAATTAATTAATTATTCCTACCATTTTTTTTATCCATATGAATCTGAATAAGTTAAAAAGGATATATACTTATGAATGGTAATTAGTACTTTTTTTTTTAATAAATGCATTTAAAGTTATCTTTCACTACTAAATCTCTTTACAATTGTCATAAAACTCGAACATATGACTTCAAATCTTCAAGTCCTAATCTCAAATTTGTCCCTTCTTTTTCAGTTTTCACTAATTTAAGAGTTAAATTCGGTAATATTTTTTAACTGGTCCAATTACGTGGGTATAGGAAAGAATTGAAGAGCAATTTTGCTCCTTTTTTTTTTTATAATGTTAATTAAACATTTTCAGTTTCGCTTTAAGGCAAAAACTTACTTTTATCATCTCACCTTATTAAGTTCGAAAATTTTAATCCATCACCTTATATTATAACACTTTTAACTCTACACCTTACTTTATTTATAAGTTTTAATCTATCATTTATTAAAATTAAAGAAAATAACTCTCATTTTATACTGATTATTAACTCTATTAACTAAAAGTAAGTTTTTATCAACTAACAGTCAACTAATAGTTAGTTAAAAAAATTAACGAAATATTATAAAATTAATTCTGTTAACTTTGTTAGCCGAAATAAAATTTTTATAAGTTAACAGTT